AACTGGAAAAATGGTCTGAGGTAAATAGGATAAAGTTTAATAAGGAAAATGCAAAGTGCTCCACTTAGCACGGAACAATCAGTTTCACACATACAGAATGGGAAGCAACTGTCTAGGAAGGAGTACTGCAGAAAGGGATCTAGGGGTCATAGTGGACCACAGAATAAACATGAGTCAACAATGTGACACTGTTGCAAAAAAAGCAAACATGATTCTAGGATGCATTAACAGGAGTGTTATGAGCAAGAAACAGGAAATCATTCTTCACTCTACTGTCTGCTGATTAGGCCTCAATTGAAGTAGTGTGTCCAGTTCTGGGCACCACATTTCAAGAAAGATGTGGAGAAATTGGAGAAGGTCCAGAGAAGAGCAACAAGAATGATTAACATCTAGAAAACATGAGCTATGACGCAAGGCTTAAGGAATTGGGCTTGTTTAGTTTGGAAAAGAGAAGACAGAGGGGACATGATGTGGTTTTCAGGTATCTAAAAGGGTGTCGGGGAAGGAGGGAGAATTGTTCTCCGTGGCCTCTGAGGACAGGACAAGGAGTAATGGGCTTAAAGTGCAGCAGGGGAGGTTTAGATTGGACATTAGGAAAAAACTTCCTAACTGTCAGGATGGTTAAACACTGGAATAAATTGCCTAGAGAGGTTGTGGAATCACCATCACTGGAGATATTTAAGAGCAAGTTAGACACCTATGAGGGATGATCTAGATGGTGCTTGGTCCTGCCATGACTCAAAGGACTGAACTTGATGATCTCTCAAGGTGCCTTCCAGTTCTAGTGTTCTATTACTCTATGATTCTGATACAGTGCCCCTGGCCTATGAGGGTGGCAGCCTGGATGTGTTGCTCAACCCAAATCACTGAGTCCAGGGACATATAAGGGGGTCAGTTTGGATATGCTGATTAACTCAGTCCTCTCAGATGCTGCTGACATTAGCAGAAATTGGAAAGCAGACAACAAAGATAAATGTAAGGTGCTCTACTCTCGAAATTAAAATCAAGTGCACAAATACAGAATGAGGGGATAAAAGGTTGACAGCAGAACTGCTTAGAAGGATCTGGGAATTGTGGTAGATCGCCATCTCAGTGTAAATCAGTAATGTGATGCTGCTGCAAAAAAAATGCAATTTTAGGTTGCATTAACAGAGCCATGATATGCAAATCATGAGAGGTGATAATACCAATCTACTTGACTCTGTTTAGACCTCAGCTAGAGTACTGTGTCCAATTTTGGTCACCAGAAAGGATAGAGAGAAACTGGAAAGGCTCCTTAGGCAAGTGACAAAGATGATAAAATATACAGTATGCAAGCCATGTGAGCAAAGGCTGGAGGAACTGTATATGTTTTATTTAGAAACAAGGATATTAAGGAGGGACATAATAGTAGATTTCAAATACTTGAAAGGCTACCATAAAAAATTGAAAAAAGTTGTTCTCTCTTGTCACAGAAGGCAGAACAATAAGGAATGGGATCAAGCTACAGAATAGCAGATTTAGATTAAATCTCAGAGTTGAGGAAAAAACTCCGTACCTGTAAGAACAGTAGGACAATGGAACAGTCTGCTGAGGGAAGTCATGTGTGCTCCTTCACTAGAGGTTTGCAAAAGGAGGATAGATGGCCATCTGCCTTGGATGGGTTAGACACAACAAATCCCGCATCTTGGCAGGGGGTTAGACTACTTGACCCTTGCAGACCCATATAACCCTACAATTCTATGGTTCTCAGAAAGGGCCATAGCGTGAGCATAGATTCTAGGGAATATGAGCTTTACATAGAAGATCCACTACAGAATATAACAAGCAGGAAAAACTCGTGTTTTGTGAGGAAGTTCGCCTCTAGATAACTCAAGAGGGTGCCAAAAAGGGATGGTTCCAAATTTTAGATACATTTCTGAAATTTTGAATCTTTATCTAAACTTTCATTCATGATAAAAAGTGGACAGTTTGGGCTACACTGGCCTCCCTTTCCATTTCAGACCTCCAAGATCTGGGAATAAATTAATGCAACTATTTAAATAGTTAATCCTTATGTAGCTTCTTCTTTTCTAACTTGGCTTTTCCTGTTTATGTTAAATGCTATTGGTCAGATGCAATATATTGTGTAGTTTTGGATAAAGGTAATTAACTCCTTTAATACCATTTTTCTTAAAGTAGTCACCTTGCTTTTTTAAAGGACAAATTCAAAAGATAAATATTTTACAAATTCACAGTGATTCCAAAAAAAATTAAGATACCAAAAATGAATTAATTGAAGACCAGAGAACAGTAAATTGGTAAATGGAAATGAGTAAAACAAAGGAAAAGTGTAAGAGAAAGAAAAATGAAAAGCAGCAGCAAGGTAGAAAATGGACTAGTGAGATATTACCCTGTGACACTGGGAATTGATTTCTCTGATAGCGAGAAGAAAAGAATGGAGTGCTAAGTTCTGAGAAATCACTACTCTAACTCTAGAAGCCAGTTCTAAATACCACATCTAAGGTAAGTCACTGTTTACCAATTCTGTCATTCACACTCAGAGTGATTTGAGGATGAAGGATAACCAGACAATCATCATATTCTGCTGGAATGTTGAGTATTTTCCTCTGATTTGTGTAATTTAAAAGTTTCTCTGTTTGTCATGTTTGTCAAGAGAATAAATACCATTTTGAAGGTAGATAAAGTGAAAGACATTAACATTTTGGCTGTGTCCAGACTCAGGGTTTTTTTCGGGAAAAATAGCCTTTTTCCGAAAAAAACTTCACCTGCATCTAGACTGCAGCCGTGTTCTTTCGAAATTAAATCAAAAGAACGCGGCTTTTCTTTCGACGGCGGTAAACCTCATTTCACGAGGAAGAACGCCTTCTTTCGAAAGTGCTTCTTTCGAAAGAAGGCGTTCTTGAATGTAAATAGGGCTTCTTCGAAAGAGCATCCAGACTCACTGGGTGCTTTCTTTCAAAAAAGCGGCTTGCTCTTTCCAAAGTTCCGCGTGCAGTCTAGACGCTCTCTTTCGAAAGAGGCTCTTTCGAAAGTATCTTTCGAAAGAGCCTCTTTCGAAAGAGGCTTGCAGTCTAGACATAGCCTTTGAAAATTCAGATATAGAAAATGGTAGTTATAATGGAACAATGGCAAAATATTTTTCTGTTTTTTAATCTTTTTTCTACCCTTAAATCTTCAGAAGTAGTTCCACTGAAGCATGCATCTGAGGGTAGAATTTGTCCCTTAATGTTTTAGTAAAAAAACCAGCTACAGTTATTTTAAACATTTCTCTTAGAAACAATAGAAACATGTATGAATTTCCAGGTTTTCTGATCTAGTGTCTGTACACTCAGTCCCTGAACTTTGTGTTGGTTGTGAGTTCTTCTAGTCTCACAACTTGCAAACAACTGCAGACAAATCATCCTGTCACCATGCACATTCACAACTTGATGTTTTTGCAATTGCTAAGGACTGCACACATTTTGAAGAAAAAACACAGCATTAAAATGTATTAAGGTTCTTTCAATGATGTGCAACCTGTATAGATGCCTTTAAATCAAAATCCAATATACTACTCCCCTTTGCACTTAGTGTATTGAGATAGCATCTATAAAGTACAAGGAACCAGTGTTAGCCTTATACATCAATTTCCATTCCTGAAGTGAATAATCTAAACTTTTAACTGTCTGATACATGGTACCTGTCTCTGTTATTGGAGTTGGATTGGAAGAAAGGCATTGCTTATCTTATTTAGCATTTTGATGGGTTACAGTATAAAAAAAATCATGATGATAGATAGGGAAGAATAATCAGCAAACCAAATATTGCCATTGTGACACATTCCATAGATCCTCTCTCACCTGCACCAGTGAAAATCAAATGCAACGCAGTTGAAACCCATGGAATTCCATAAGTATAAGGGTACATCTAAACTGCAGTGCTATTTCGCATTTTCTGCATTTTGTTATTCGTTATTTTGAAACACAATCGAAATAACAGGCGTGCTATTCTGATGTCCTAGTACACCTCGTTCCACAAGTATTAAGGGACTTGTCAGAATAGTGGTTTATTTATTGTGTAAACAGTGCCAAATGTCAAAATAGACTCTCTCGAAATAAGCTTGAAATAAGATACGCGATTTGTATAGCTCAGATTGTGTAGCTTATTTCAAGCTAGTGCCACAGTGTAGACGCACCCTAAAAATGGTGTAAAAGAAGGGAGAATTATTCCCTGTGTCTCACGTTTCAGTTACAGGATATTCATGTTGTCATTTACATTCCAAGAAAGACTTGTTGAATGTCAAAAAATAAATCCTGTACCACTTCTCATATATCTCTGTATCACTTCTTATATATCTATCATCTTCAGTCATGATACGAAGTATTTGAGTTAAACTGCATATCTATGAGCCTTGGAATATGTGATTAAAGTTTTGTATCCATTAACTTCCCTCATATTAACTCAAATCTTCTCCTTCCATACAAAAGGATGCACTGTAGGTATTTCAAATTGTCGTTGTTTTAAAAATAAACATAATATTTACTTTACTCTTTTACATGCACAAACGATTCTAATTTGTTTTCAGGTGTCTTAGAGAAGGGAATGACCTAAGTGATTTTTTTTAAACTTGTGAGAGTTATTTGCTTTTGACTTGAGGTCTTATTTACCAAGTTTCAACAGGTTGGCTTAGTCTCCCAGCCATGTTATAAAATATAATGGAAATATCACAAGATTCCTATAGAGAGAAATAACCAAGAACTGCTCAAGTACCATGGAAATAATTAGTAATAACCTACTAGGATCAGTTGCCATTCATTCCTGTTTCCTTCAGCATATTTGGAATGAAGTTTTGTTTGTGCCCTAAGCAATGCCTGATACTACTGGAAAGTTTCAGATTCAGTTTCAGAAAGTACATTAACTGCCAAAAACAATACATATGCATGCGCACGCGCGCGCGCGCACATACACACACACACACACACACACAAGTATGCACAGAGAGAGAGAGAGAGAGAGAGAAAGAGCACCTCTTGACTTACCTCCAATATGATAAGCACATAAACACCTGCCAAGATGACTGATGCAATGGTTACTTGTGTCTCTATATTCGCATGAAGATACTGATGCTTTATGGAGAGAGGAACAATTTCAGATTCCTGCAGAAAAGCTTGAATGTTTATGGAGATTGCATTACTGCAGGGAAAAGAAAAAAAAAAAAAGTTCTGTTTCCTTATACAGTAAAACTCCAATTGTCTGGGATCCAGTTTTCCAGCACTCCCAATAGTCCGGCATCAACTGGAACCTGGAAGTGCTCCAATCAGCCGCTCTCACGGCCAGGCCGCTGTGAGCTACATGTACGTTCGTGGCCCCAGTGCACACAGCATCCAGCTTGCACTTGCTAGCAGCCCGCCACTGAGCACAGGCAGCTGCCTTGGGACCCAGACATAAGGTTGGGGGAGGAGGAGGACTGGGTTACAGCAGAGAGGGGAGGTATTTGGCTCTGGGGGAGGGCAGGAGAGGAGGATTGGGTTGGGAGTATGCCCCCTTATAGTACTTTCTGGTACTCCATCATATCCAATAATCCAGCACCATCTAGGTCCCAAAGGTGCCAGATTATTGGAAGTCTACTGTAGAATGAAACTGTTATATTTTTAAATACTGTAAAAATGTTTCATTAGCTATAATAAAGAATGTAAAGCAATTTTTGTGATTCTTGAATACCAGATTGTAAATGTCATGTCTTGGACTGTAACATAAGCCCAAGAAGTGGATAGGATGACAGTACTATAATTATTTTTAAAAACTTGGCAAGTTTATGTTTTACTGTCAGTCTGAAGAATTATAAGATAATGGAATGTAATAGTTTTTTTTTAAGAAAATAAAAATATTTCATAGCATTCAAGTCAGTTTATATAAACTATTATTTCAATTGATTTCTGCCAACCTGTTAGGTATCTCAAAGGTTTTAGTTGTGATAACTTGCTCATTTCGTCTTGAGTTTAAAGGTAGAGTCCAGTTGTATAAAACCTGTAAGACATTCAAATTTAAAAACATAAGTAACTTAAGTCTGTTTCCTCATGTTCTTCTTTTGCCCAAAAACCCTCAAGTCAAATTTCACCAATCTGATTACTTTTAGACAAAACTGCTTGTATGTTAAGTGTCAGGCCAGAGGGAATTGTCCCCAATGCTCATTAAGTTCCAGAAAGAGGGATCAAATACAAAGTCGCAAAGTCAAGATACGAGACTTACCAGTGTCGTCTGGGTCTGGCCTGGGACGGGAATCAAGCTATGCACCCTGGCTGCTGGCTTCTCCCTGGATCAGGCTGGAGTGGAAGTGGAGGGACCCACACCCCCGCCACTATTTTAGTCCCATGGCTGGCCCAGCAGTGAAGGAAGCTGTACGGGCTTCCCACTGGTGCTTCCTGGGCCCAGCTAGGGTGTCGAATGCTGCTGGCCAATGGCTTCCCATTGGGATGCTTGCTGCCCCCCTGTGGTCATTCCACAGTATAACTCCCTCATACCACACCCCTTCCTTTTCCATTTTATGAGAAAATCAAATTTCAGGAATATCCCGTTGTACTGGCACAGCCAAGCCCTGGCCTCACTTTCAGTTAGGATAAGAGGACGCTGCATACCAAATTTAGTGGCCCTAGATTTTGTCATTTAGGAGGCGTTCTTGAACAAATGGACTCAAAGACGGACAGACAGACAGACAGATGCCCATTTCTGAAATATGTAGGTAGATAATACCAATGCAGCTAATGCTAACATCAGTGTACATTTCATGACAAAACAAAAATCCATGTAATGTTGATGGGGACAACTCAATATCAGTTAAATAAAGGCATCTCAAAAAAAGACACAAAACAAAATTTCCAATGACAATGATATGCAAAAAGCAGCACCTGCAGCTGACGTCTTCTTCGAGACCCAGGGTCTTCTATTTGCCCAATTTGCACTATTATGTATTCCTCTGCCCGACGATCAACCACATCTGCTACAAAAGGTCCTCCTAATTCTAACTTCAGTAGGGAAGATTCACGAAAATCTGTAATATTCATAGCTGATGGAAAACCTGTTAAGGATTACAATTCCAGTGGCAACTATGTAGGATTAAGTAATATACTGTATTTCAGTATAATATGTAACTCCTAACCAGACAGTGCAATATGAGGCGGTCTCTCAAATGCAATAGAGATTATTCTCAGGACAAAACCCTATGAAAAAAAGATTCCAAACCAGTGAAATGCCAGCTTTCAGGGGGTTGACTGGAATCAGTGAACATAGAAGACAACTGTATCCCCACTCCTTCCGGTTTAATTAAAGGCTATTTTGTTGCTGTAACCTTGCAGCTGGATGGAAAAGAAATCAGTCTTATCAGGAACTAAACAATAAACAACATTTCTAGCAATTAAGATGTCATGACCCACCATAGCTCCTGAACCTAGGCCTGTAAAGTCATGGATGAAGTCATACTCCAACCCTCCACCTACTAGCCTGCTAGTAGAAGCTCACCTGTGACCCATGAAACCCAACCCCAGAAGTATGTTTCACTGCCCATAGTATTGAGAGGTTTGAACAAGGAAAGAAAAAACACAGCTTAGAATTTTTAAAGCACTCTTGCTAGTTTGAGTACCTACAGGGCATCACTTTGTTCCACTTTTGGGATCTCTAGTGAAAATAATTACAGTTATCCCAGGCTGACCACACTCTTATTGTTTTAATACAGAAAGTTTTGTTTCCGTATTTGAAGTCCCTACCTCTTTATAACGAATTTTTATGTTGCACACTCATTAATTTTCAGCAGAAAGGCTGAATGAGCATGGATACTGAAGCACACTCATGTGCCAAAATAGTCGCTCCAGCTCAGGGCTGAGGAGTGCATCAGTGCCTCATGAGGACTCATGCAATATCCATATTGTAGCCTGATTTGTGGAGAGAAGACTGCAGACCCCAGACCTGTCAGGACATCTAACACCTTTTACAAGCAATGAATCTACTCACACATTTATTTTTAATGTATTTAAAGGGATTAATAACACAGTAGGATGAATTTAAAATCTACAGAGGAACAATGAAGAAATCAACGGATGTTTCTTTCAACAAATTCCAAATAGAAAAATTCACATGCTGTCTCCACCTAACTTGATATTACATTTCTCTTCCATTGCTGCAGTTTTCCAGGGTAGCTTGCTGTCACAATTTCCAAAGCTCAGCGTAATGGCACAAATCCTTATTGAAACCATATTAACAGCTCTAACGAGAGGCATTAATTGTTGTCCTTCAAAAGGCTTGCTGACCTGTATTCATTAACCTAATGACTTGGGGCACCTTTGACAGCCTGAACACCATTATGAGTGCAGCCAATAATTTATTTCTACAAAAAAAAAAGCTTCGGGTGCATATAATTATGGCAGCTTCCTTTCACACAATACAGCCAACATAAATCCTGTAATTATACAGATGACACATTCAGGAGCTACTACAGAGGAAGCTTAAAATCATAAGAAAAGGGAAAACTTATTTTCAAGCTATGCACAGTGGTGCCATCATACAAAATAGTTTCTTCCTACCTTGCATTATTATTCATTTGTTACTGTTCAAACGTGAAACCATGAGAAAAAGCCCTAGCAATAAGGTCTTATATTTGATCATGAAACTTAGCTTTCACAGGTCTAAGCTGAGGAGCTTAAATAGAAATCACTTTTTTCCTTCCAAACAACACTTTGAATCTCATCTTTTTTCCACTCATGTCACTGCAGATCATAGCCTGTATCTAAGGTAGAATCTGATCTTCTCAAAACATTTCTGCTGAGGAAAACTACAGACCTACTTCTATGAGGCAAACAGGGATCATTTTCACAGGTCAGAATTTAATGAGGTCTGTGCATTTTAATTTCAATGCATTGCATCTGAATTCATTTCAGAAGCTTGTCGAAGCAAAGAGTCACAAAATATTTGCAGGGAAAGACCCAACGCACACTGAGCCTAGGTTCAAGGTGGTTTGTGCACCTGGAGAGAGGATGTTATCCCAAAAGGAGAAATTGGCAATTTTCTTTACACAACACAAGCCCCAAGATTCTTTCTTACTGCAGCTCCCCCGCCATGACGCACAGCCCCAGCTAGCAGCATCAGCCTCTTCCTGGTACAAGAGCTGGGGTGAGCCCCTTGCTCCTATTCTTTCAGGTGACCAGCTGTACCAATAAAAATCAGGACCGTCTCAATATTTAATTGTTTGTCCCAATCAATGTACGATAGGGATGCCATTGGTCTCAATATACAGGTGAGAGGGTGAGCAGTGGGCCAGGGGCAGGTAGCGGGCAAACAGCGAGATGAGCTGCAGACAGGGATGGCCTGGCAGGAGAGTGAGCGGTCCTTGCAGTCGGTAGGGGGGGTTTTTGGCAGGGAAGCGAGAAGATGAGCAGCAAGTAGAGAGGGTGAGAAGAGGTGAGTGGCAGATGGAGCACTGAGGAGGGTCACGGCAAACCAGCACTGGGTGAGGAAGAACATGGAGGGGAGCCAGGAGAGGGTGGGGCTTTGGGCACAATGGGGGCAGGGCTAATGGCACCCCCAAAGGGTCTCAATATTTTACTTTTATGATGTGTTCATCTTCCGCCTCTTCTCCCCAAAGACCAGAGACATGACAAGGCCAGAAGCTGGAGTCATATGGTGCTAAGAGCCACCCAGGGAACCTGGACTGCCAGGGGGAGCCCCAGATCCACCTACGCTGAGAATGAGGACACTGTCCAGAGATGGCTCTCAAGCACCCAAGGCAGGCAGAAAATCCAGCGCTCCCCACAGAGGCCCAGGTTTCTCTGGGTGTCTCTTCCCATGACCCAGCTCTGACTTCTGGCCTGGCCAAGGGACCTCAAGTGAAAGAAGAGCAGAGGGTGGGACCACAATTCTAGTGATGGTAGCCCCCACATACACACACACTTCTACATAGGTTACAGTGCTCCTGTGGGGACTCCCAAATTGGCCTTGGGCATGAGCCACATGGGCCCATGAATCAATCTTCTAGTGAGCACATTAGAAATCCCAGGGTTCTTTTGCGAGTACAAGAAGCAACCTGAATCCTACCTCACCCACACATGTACATCATCCCCCTCTCTTGCCATGGCTGGGTGTGAACAAAGTCTAGAAGGCATCCCATAATGTTTAGCAAAGTCTACCAGGAGACCTAAGGGATTCCAAAGGAACAGCTTGCTGGGAACTCTGGAGTTTCACTTCATAGCACATACAGTTATTACGGAATAGTGATAGAAATGTAGCCATGTTAGTCTGGGGTAGCTGAAGCAAAATGCAGGACAATGTAGCACTTTAAAGACTAACAAGATGGTTTATTAGATGATGCGCTTTCGTGGGCCAGACCCACTTCCTCAGATCAAATAGTGGAAGAAAATAGTCACAACCATATATACCAAAAGATACAATTAAAAAAAATGAACACACATGAAAAGGACAAATCACATTTAGTGGAAGAAAATAGTCACAACCATATATACCAAAGGATACAATTAAAAAAATGAACACATATGAAAAGGACAAATCACATTTCAGAACAGGAGGGGGATGCGGAGGGGGGGGGAAGGAAGGAAGGTAAGTGTCTGTGAATTGATGATATTAGAGGTTATTACGGAAACACTTAAAACTTCCCTTACTCATTCCATCAGCTATATAAGGGTATGTCTAGACTACATGCCTCTGGCGACAGAGGCATGTAGACCAGGCTACCCGGCATAGGAAAATGAAGCGGCGATTTAAATAATCGCCGCTTCATTTAAATTTACATGGCTGCTGTGCTGAGCCGACAAACAGCTGATCAGCTGTTTGTCGGCTCAGCGCAAACCTCATCCCACGAGGCATACCGGGGAGGTTGACAAATGCCTTTGATGTCCACCGCGGAGCGTCCAGACTACTGCGCTGAGCCGACAAACAGCTGATTGGCTCAGCGCGGCAGCCATTTAAATTTAAATGAAGCGGCGATTATTTAAATTGCCGCTTCATTTTCCTATGCTGGATAGCCTAATCTACATGCCTCTGTTGCCAGAGGCATGTAGTCTAGACATACCCTAAGATACAGACCCCTCAGCTGAGCAAAGAACTAGATACAGCAGAGACCCAGGATGGGGAATCAGACCTCATGTCATTTCAGAAAAGACCCTGGATTGGAAGGGAGGCAACATTCTAAACTATCCTCTCCACAGAGACCAAAGATGGGAGCAATGCCCAGCAGTGTCCCCACTGAAAATAGGGGTGGACACACAGCACAGGGCCATTACCTGGGTGCTCCTCTAGAGGTGATGCAGGAGGAGGAATGAACGAAGGGCAGCTTTGTGTAGGAGTTTTCTTGCAGGATGGAGGGAAATGTTTCCTCAGAGGCTTCAGGTTGTTAAAGTTCACAGCCCACTCTTTGCCTAATATTTGTGCTAGTGGTGCATTTAAGGTTTAATCCTGCACGGTGCTGAGCACTCTGGCCCCCACCCAGCAAAGCACTTGGGTACATGCCTAACACTAAGCATCTGCCTATGATATGCATCACGGGGGACACTTAAAATTTGTTCTGGGGCAGGAAGCGGTGGGGAATATACAGATTAAACAGAGCCATGGCAATAAAAACAGCAAAGTCAAGCACAAAATATTAGAGATGGTGATTGATTAAAATATTCTGTTCCAAGACTATCGTATCTGAGAATGGGAGGCGGGATCGGTTGGTTGGTTGTTTTTCAGGGAAATGAAGAACTCTTTTTGATATTACTGATGAACATCTGCCCCAAGCTCTTCATGGCATTATGATTAAAATGTTTTACAATGACCTCTGCTTGCTCCGTGACTGAAGTAATTGCAGTGATCATTCAATCTGCGATTTCAAAATTCATGCACTTTCAGCCATAATCATGGTAACTAACAGCCTCAATGCCTCTCACTTCTTTTTTTCATTCTCATTAGCTTATGGGGTTTTTTTTCCCCACCAATGTCATCCCTCCCCCTCCCCCTGTACATTGAAAAAGTTTTAACAGTTTTGTGGAACTATTGACCAGAAACACTTGGGCCTCGTATCATATTGACCAACCTAAGGATCTGGTGTTCTCTAACATCTTTCTGTTTTAGTTTGCAGATGACAGCTAGTGGGGTTGCCAATTAGGCCCCCCAATGGGAGGAAGGAGCAAAGGAGACAACCGCCCTGAGGTTAGCAATTCAAAAAAGCCCGGAGCTGCCAGCCTCCACCATCTCTGCAACGGTGGCAGTCAGAGACCTGGGGCCGTTAGATCCCCATCAGAGCACCACATGGTGTGATCTGGGCAGCTCTGACAGCTGCCAGGTCAGGAGGCACAGCATGGCATGCTCTGGGAGGCACTGAGGCTGGCTGCCCCAGTCCGCCCCTTCCAGGAGCACAGAGCTGGGCCCCCTCCCAACTTCCTGCTTTACCCAGGAGCCTGGTGGCAATTCTGTTGGGCCACCTGTTGCCAATACTTCTGAGAATGGAGCTAAAATTGAGAGGGACAGTAAACACATCTCACCTCCTGCCTTGCCACTATTGTAGTGCAGTTATTGAACAGATGAATGTTGCAGGGTGATTTGGAGGATAAAGAAACGGCATTACTGAGTCTGACCAGGAATTTCCCCAATGTATGGCAGGAGTTGGCACAAGAGACAGTACAGAGGTGCTTGAGGTGGAAGTGCACAAGCAGATAATCAAGGTTGCTACAATCACAGAGCAAAAGCAGCAGTTGATAGCTCAATAATCTAAATGTGGGAAAGAGGCTCAAAGCTTGGAAGAATTTGGAGGAATCGCAGAACTACAATGCAAAGGAAGGCAGAAAAGGAATTACCTGCAACACTTCTCTACTTAAGGGGAGAAGCATTCAACTGTAATAGGTGAGGCAAGTTAAATAAGTACTATGTCAAAGAAACCCAGGCACTTCTGTAAATGAATGTGAGATGGCATATGCTTGAATTGCACAATATCTCTTTGGCATGCAAGAACCCCCATTACTTTTTCATTTCAGGAACCATAGTTCTATTATGTTGCATTGATTTGCTCCAGCCTTCTGTTCTCCATTGCCTGTACAACATAAAATGTTGTACAGATGAAGGCAGAAGTTATTCGGAACACAGTGCAAAGAGACGCACAGTAATGAATGAGGAGAACGCGTATTTCAAAACGTTCTATAAAACCAAAAATTATTTTCATGATGGGAAAAATTGAAAAATACATCTCTTGGTATTTCATGGTTATGTAATTAATAAACTCAGATCTTTTGGGAGTAATGATGACTGCTCCATCACAATAGGCTGAAAATCATAGGGTATTAGGAGTATTCACTCCCAAATGAGCACTGGGTTTTGTTAATGCATCATATCAATGTAACTTTTCTGCTATTTTTAACTCAGATCCCAAAGATGTATCTTATTAATTATTGACTTTGCACTTGTCTGCCTTTCATTTTACAACCATGCCACAATAGCATACTGAACCTTAATCCCGCAGAAGAGAGTCTGCTGCCTTTCACTAGCACAAAATACCTCTTTGTTGCCGAATGAGCATTTAAAACGATATGTCACAAATTAATTTTAAAAAGGAAGAGCACCATCACCATTTTGAAAAATTATACTAACTCCATTTAATTTGAATCAAGGACAGTAGGAAAACCAAATGCATTTGTGATCAAAATAGTACTAAAGGAAATCCTACAGATTGTGGAAAGTCTTCAATTCATGGAAGGGAGTGGGTATTCTGGCATTGCTTTTGATAGCTGCAGCCTAGCTGCCCCAGGCTATGTCTAGACTATGGCATTTTTCCGGGATACCAAAAGTATCCCGGAAAAACTCCGCCATGTCCAGGGAATATGTCTGCTCTTTCGATATTTTTTGCAGAAGAGCAGAAGCACTTTTTTGGCATCCCTGTAAATCTCATTTTGTGAGGAAGAAGGGATGTTCCAAAAAAGGTTTTTTTCCCTGACATTTGGACCAATGTAGATATTTGGCCCAGTGTAGATGGGCCAAATGTCAGAAAAGCTTCTTCCAAAAAAAGAAGCGGAAAAAGCTATGCAAATTGCAGTTCACAATTTGCATACTTTTTCCAGAAGAACAGTGCAGTGTAGACATAGCCTAATGCTGGTACTGCTCAGAGATATTGGACATTACACAGAAAATCACAAGCATTGAACTTAAGCAGGAAAAGGGGGGCAAGAAAGGGGGAAGAAGAAAGAAGGGAAACTTCCCAAATGATGTTCTCTTTTTTTGCAACAGTGCTACACTGTTGACTCATATTTAGCTTCTGACCCCCTCGATCACTTCCACAGTGCTCCTAGCTAGTCATTTCCCATTTTGTAGGTGTGCAACTGATTGTTCCTTCCTAAAGAGACTACTTTGAATTTGTCCTCATTGAATTTTGTCCAATTTCTTTCAGAGCATTTCTCCAGTTTGTTCAGATTATTTTGAATTTGAATCTTATCCTAATAATGATAGAGTATTTCTTGCAAGCCTAATATTTCAGTCTGTCTGAAGATGTTAATTCTCTGTAGCCTAATACATAGGTTTCAAGCTACTAAAAACTCAGATTCAACACCAGAATATTGGTACATTTAACCAATCACTAAATGTTCTTGAATAGCTCATAGTAGTAGTAAAAGCAACATCAAATTAAATTTCTTTTTTCCCCATAGATTCCAACCAGTGGTGCCAGTTAGAGACTTCAGGTATATCCCCTCCTCTCAAGGTTTTTGCACTTGCTCAAAGTCCCATAGGCTGCAAAGCTTGGGGCGGGGGTCAAGATGGGGGAAGATGCTCCAATCACTTTCAAGCAGTGGTCCTGAGATACATTAGTACAGCTGCTACAGGAACAGTTCAGAACATTGCTCTTGCTGTGCAGCTGGACCTCACTAAAATTTGACCCAGCCAGCCCTCTGTGCAAACGAAGGAGCAACTAGGCCAAATTCCAGTGGGTGGCATGTGATTTGGCACCTGGTGTCACAACAGCATTCAAATCTGACCAAACTAGAGCAGTCTCTAGGCCAGTATTTTGACCTGAAATATGAGGAGTCTGTCCAGGCACAGCGATGTGCAGGGGAATCTATTGAGAACTGGACTCCTGGCAACAATAGCTCATTTGCTGTGCAAGTAAGAGAGAGGAGAAACTCCCTGACCAAAGGACACCTGGGGTCCGTAAGAGATGTGGAGCAGGGTCTCTGCTGGGGGAGGACAAAGTTCAGAATCTGTGCTCTCAGGAAATATCTGAATTAGCACCCTTCCAGGACTGAGAAAGGACCATTGTACTCTTCTAGTCTGAGCTCATGTATAACACAGGCTGTAGAGCTTTCCCACAGTAATTCTTAGAGCAGATCTTTTAGAAAATCATCCCATCTTGATTTAAAATTTTTCAGTGATGAAGAATCTACCACAACCCAGGTAAATTGTTCCAATGGTTTAATTGTACCACTGTTAAAAATGTATGCCTTGTTCCTGCCTGAAATTATCTAGCATCAACTTCCAGCCATTGGATCATGTTAAACCTTTCCCCACTAGACTGTAAGAGCACATTACCAATCATTTTTTCCTCATGTAAATGGTCATCACGTCACCCCTTAACTTTCTCTTTATGAAATTAAATAAATTGAGCTCCTTAAGTACAAGGAGGCATTTTTTAAAAAATCCTTAATCATTCTTATGCCTTTTTTCTGAACCTCTCCAGTTTATAAGAACTGGACACAGTATCCCAACAGCAGTTGTACCAGTGCCAAATAGAGGGGTAAAAATTACCTCTCCATTCATGCTGAAGTTTCCTCTCTTTATTCATCCTTCTGGCCACAGCATCACACTGGGAGTTCAAGTGTATATTATTAACAAAGGAAACAGTATCCCACCACCATCAAGGACTAATAGCTTGTTCTCAAATATAGGTGTGTTAAACACTGAACCAGTCCTTTGCTAGTGAATTCTACCAGTACCAGCCACACCAAGCCAGAGCAGCCCCAGCCATGACAGGGCTGATGGGCCAGGCTGTAGGACTCCATGGCCACAGCAGGACCTCACAACTACAGTGGCACCTCCAGCAAGCCCAGCAGCAGGACCTGAGTCATAAAAGTTTACTGGTCAAGTGCTCTCCTTTAACTGGTTAACCATTTTACCCTCCTACTCAAATTTCTGTCACCCCTTACATGTTCCATTTTCTAAACACCTGTACAACTTTCCTGGATTTTAACAAGAAAAAAAGGTTTGATCCATCTTCTTGCTTACTAATTATGTATTATAGGTAAATGATAAATAGGATTATTTATTAAAATTTATGATGAATAAATCTAATTCAATTTTTAACTAGTCATATCTTTGGGGGAACTAGTTTTGGGATTTGTCTGTCTCTGTGACCTTACACCTCTGTTGTTTCCTTTTTGCATATTGTGATCAGGTTTCATTATGACCTTCAGCTCCTTTTTTTAAGATATGACTAGGTATCAAGTGGTGTCCAGCTAAAGAAATAGGAAAATCAGGCATTTACACACTTCATTATCGTTTAGATAAGTTACTATGGAAATAGGTTTGTGAACACATTAATTTGCTATCATAAAGGCCATTAGGTAGCATCACAGATTCCAAGGAAATAAATTGCTATCAATATCTAACTTAGTAATCAGAAAAGCAGCCGTTTTGAATTAACTTATCATTAGCGTAACCAGCAATGACATTGCTCCGTCTGATTTTTTTTTTTTTTTAACTGATAAAGGATACAGTAGCTTTCCAATGGTGACACAGCCAACATCTGCCAGGGTGCTCCTTGGTCGGGATAAGTACTAAATAAAATCTAAGACAAATAAAAAATGGGGTTACCTTGAATTGTTAGAGTTGACCTTCCTACTCTAGTCTGTCTCAAAAATATGAAATGGCTTTTCTTGAACCTTATAAACAAATGCACTCATATTTTCAGATATATTTAATTCCAATTGCTGATATTTCAGAAACTTAAAACCAGTCCTTTGGCTCACAAAAAGGGTCAGCAGTACCAAGCAGTAATCCTTCACCACATTTAAACTAGCAACGTCAGACATTTTGTACAGTGTAAACAAGTCTGTCCCAGAACAAAACTGCAGGCTAGCTTTGAGCAACTGTCTGGGAGGTCAGGCCCAAATAATCCCATCCTTGCTGAGGGGAACATAAATGTGTATGGTCTCCTTTGCTACAGGAATCCTGCCAGGCAGAAAAAGATTCCTCGTGTCAGGCAAGAAGATAATTTCCAACCCTCCAAAACACTTGAACAACATGGCCATCTAAGAATTCACAGATTCCATGAGGACTGCCCAGTCAACAGCAGCAATCACACAACTCAGCTGCAGAATCCCTTCAGCCACCTCCCTGCTAGGCCTTTAGTGTCATTCCACTAGAACACTGTGACTGCTACTTAATTCTGGATCAGTGTCTCCCTCACTATATTTCTGCCTCCATCTTTCAGGTGTTTGACGTATGTCATTATAGTACAGCAGGGTGCAACAGAGCCTAGAAAGGAGACACTTAATTCTGGAGGTGTCTGCCTCACTATTGATTGTCTGAGGTAATATGAAGCCAGGAGGTTGGAAAAGCCAGGATAATGATGCAATCAGGAAAGAATCCAAAAGGGAAAAAAAAATTGCATCC